TGGATCAGCCCTCCTATTTTAAAATTAAAACTGCTTATTTTGACTTAATTTAAACATTTGTTGTTGAAAATGAAAGACCACCACTTAAATTGAAATAACACATCCACAAAGAAATTTGCTTTGTCTTATTTATAAGACAGCCTACAGCTCAATCACAAAGCAGAGAACATAAATTTCTCCCATCTGAACACCTTGAGAGCTTCTAATTCTGTGCAACCAAAGCAGAGAATGCAAGAGAGTGAGAAAACAGAAGGTGCTAAGGCTGGTTAAACACCTGTCTGAATTCCCTTACTTTTATTTATATGACAGTCATAGCTTTACGTATGAAAGAAAGCATTTAAATTTAGTGCATTAAATAGACAGATATGGTCTGATACTACATTGCTAAATCCCTGTACACCAGATGACAGAGTGCCTTTCAGTGGGCTTTTTACTTGAGCCTCTTGCAAATCTGTCTAAAAGGGTTTGTATTAGGTAATGGTACATGACCAGAGCACTGCACAACAGCTAGCTGTCTGATTATTCAGCAAATCAGCTTTCCACTGGCATAATTTTAGTACTGGCCATTTCTAACAACAACACCCAGCTCATATGCCATAAATTCGGATACTGGCTTACTTTACAGTAACTTGTTATGTGCTCTTACATCACTGAACACAGAAGGCTAGCATACAAGATGTATTTTTTCCTCATACTCACACATATGGAAGCCATATACTGTCTAAAAAATAATTTTACCAGAACTGACAAAACTTTTAGAATCAACACAAGTAACTCTAAACAAAGATCTGTTCCAGTATTTGAGATATAAACCTAGAGTGATTTCAGATCCTTTTCAGGAGAAAAGGAAGAAACGTTGGAACCAGATGAAATGTAATACGGTATTATCAGCAGTGAAAAGCAGAAGGAAAGAATGCACAATTTATAGAAATGGCAAATAGAAATGGCATTTTGTTACTTGCCAATAACTGATGCAGACTGCCATTTTCTTTCTATTGCTGTTTTAGTTGGCATTCCCATCTAACTTGTTTAAAAATGTACACCAGGATTAAATTTACTCAACATTTCATTAAAAAAAAGTTTTTCTTTAGCACAAAGTAATTTCTGTAATTCTGTAATCTCTTGTTTTTAATCAAAATTATAGACATTCTACCTGAATAGAAGGCTTCTCTAGGAAGCACTGGTATAGCTGTTGAGAATCATCCAAATCCTCTGTATGATGTTCTGATGCCTTCACCAAACAAATTGCTTACAATTGAAAAACAAAGCTAATAAAGCTAACTGAATGTTAAGATGAGAAGCTTGAATATACTTCCTGCTATCTATTTTTATTTCAGATTTTAAAGAAACTAGAACCTCAAGACAGAAGTAATGTAAATCACTTGTTTCTACTGGACCATCACCTTATAGTTCATAATTAAAAGCTGAAGCTGCCAACATACCTGTGGGCATTGCAGTCCTGCTTTCCAGCAAAAGCCCCAGCAAGATGACAATTCCTGAAATGAACCCATTCAAAAGCTGTCTACTGTGCCACTCATGCTGTAATACCAGCACATTATAAGCTTTTACACAAATATTTAGCCTGCCTGTGACAGCTTTTTCACCCTGGGTATAACAAACTCCCTGCTACGCAGAACTAAGGACCAGACACACTGCTACCTTACAAAGTAGTTTCGCTGGAAAGCCAAGATGAAAAAGTGACCAGTAAGTCATTTACCTGGCAAATTTTAGGATGAGGTTTTATGGCATTCAAATGCAAAGAAATGATGAAAAGAAACAGTAGAAAGAGAAGGGAATCTGTCACCAAAACTGTTCCTCAAGTGAAAAGTGAAATGCATTAAATATGGAAATTTATACTTATAAAAATATAAACATTACAAAGGCATAGCTATAGATTGGATTTATGACACTATACAGCTCAACTTGTAAGTACCTGAAGCTGTAGTCATCTCCTTGGTGAAAGTGTAAATAGTTATAGACACTTACTTCACTGATTATATTAGGTAATTGTACCAAAATAATTGACTCGTATGAGTGAATTATGAATGAAATTGAATGTCTTCATGAGTACCAAAAGAAGCAAATGGAACAAGACATTAAAAAGAATGGCTTGTCTCAGGACACTGTTCCTAGAGCACCACTTCCTAGCAATGAAATTCAGGAGTGTGTTGCTTATATCAAGACTGAAAAGCCTGCTCTCTGGTAAATCACACCACAGCACAAATAACTCATCAGCAGCATCCTAACATTAGAAGATTCTGAAAAGGTTGCAGCATATCACAGATACCACTCCCCGTCCTCTAATCCCAATAAGAGAAAAATTACGGATATATGTTTAGAAAAAGTTTAAGTGTGGAAAAACAGATCTGATTCAACAACATAGGCAAGATCTATATGGGATAAAATCAGAAAGTCTTCGAGGAAAATAAAAGCTCCACAACAATTGTTGACCCTTAGGCCAAAAACTAGTTCTTCATTATCATTTAGGAACCCTAGATGACTGGATAGCCACTGTCTTGTTCTTTGAGTCCAGACAACTCAGATATATCTTGGTATCTGTCAGCAAGACTGAATTAAGTTTTAAAATAATGAGAGCGTGCAGGTAAAAATCAGCTTACTTTATGATTTCGTAAACAAATATCACTTTCCCCTTCCATAGGATCTCACACCAAATTTTATTACTCTGATTTCCCTACACCAGCAGCTGAGATATAAACTTTCTATTTGTGAATTAAAATTCATATTATGTAAGGTTCTGGTGGACAACATAACATTCGGATTCTGAAGTAGTATGGTGTAAGATCTTACATATGCTAAGGAGTTACTTCAAACAAATTTTAGATATCAGTATGAAAAAGTCTTGTATGTAAGGGGAAGAGACTGGAAAAAAAAAACAACAAATTGCCACATTTCTTACACAGTCTATTTATGTACGTGACAGATTAATTCTACCTATTTCACACTCTTCATGACTTACTTGGAATACTGCACAGATTAACAAAAAACCTAAATAAAACTGATCCAAGTCTGAAGAGAAGAAAAATGTTAAAAGGAAAAGAAATAATGGTACAAGAAAGCCCAGAAAGGTCAGAAACAAGAGTTACATGTATCTAGGTCAACAGAGTTCTGAAATAATTTTAAGAAACTGTAGAAAGTAATTTGTAATTTGATAAAGTTGTATCAAACTAAAGGTCACAGAAAAAATACAAAAAGGGCTATTCTTCCAGAAGCTGAAAGAAAATGTATGCTTTCCATTGTCTCTGTCTTTCCAGTACTATGGTATATAACAAGCTAAACACAATGCTCTTTGAAATTATCTTCTGAGGAAGATGTAAAAATTTTCCTTGCCCATAATAACAATGTGAGAAGGTCAGCAACCATAGTATGGGCTCCAACATGAGTCCTCTAGCAAACTGAAATTCTATGCATGAAGGCATCACTCTTACTTAACCAATTTCTGTGATGCAGGATACAATTTCTGTAAGGGAATAAGAAGGAAGAAATTTCCATCTCAGTCTCAGATGTTCCAGCTTGTAAGTCCAGTGTTTCATTCCCTATGCATTTTATACATGACTATTTGTATTCACTCACTTGTTTTTCTGGATGCACTGGCAAGCCTAGATGTCTCAGGAATTTATCTCAGTAATCTATAAATTCATTTCAAAAAGTGCTGCTAATGCACTTAATGCACTCTGAGGAGAATTTTGATCTTAACAATCAAATTAGACAAATCTACACACAGTCACTGCAATAATAGCTGTATTCATTTCCCTCATAAACCAGATTCAGTCAGAAGCAAATTCTCAGTTTGCAAGCCAGAGCATGTTAAACGGGTTATTTACAGCCAACCACTGAAGTCACCAAAACCTGTCTATGATGTCAAACAAGACAAAAATAGACCATTTTCCTTGTTTTTTCTAAATAAACTTATATTCATAAAAGATGAAGGAACAGAAGCCTTGAGGAAAAAGAACTCTCTTCATTACACCCACTACAAAAGCACTAAACCATTCAACCTTTCTTGGAAAAAAACAAAGGTTCAAGGAAAAAAATCAGGATTGTATCCATGTCTTTGTGTTCTCCTTCTCTGCCTAAATTGTCAGCAATATATGCAATATATGCAATATAAGCTTGCCTTTTTTTTTTTTTTTTTTTTTTTTTTAAATTTTCATACCAGAACTGGCAGGTTTTAATCTCTGCTCTCTTGTGACAACAACAGGGCCTGAGGGAACAGCATGGAGCTGCATCAGAGGACGGTCAGATTGAGGGTTAGGAAAAGGTTCTTCACCAGAGGGCAGTGGGGCTCTGTAACAGTTCACCAAGGTAGCAGGCAAGGCCCCAATTTGACAAGAGGTCAAGGAGTGCTTGGAAAATTCTATCAGAACCTGGGTGCTCCTGTGTGGAGCCAGGGCTTGGACTCAATGATCCTGGTGGGTCCCTTCTAGCTCAAGATATTCTATGCTTATATGTCACTTCATATTCATTGCCACTGAGAAGAATTATTTTTAAAAATTTCAGTCCCTAATATCACTTGAAAATCCTCATATTCATCCAAGTGAAAGACTTCAAATTTAACCACCACAAACATGATACTTCCTCAATCACCTATAAAGAGTACCTAATGCTAATCCTACAAAGGATAATCCAATAACCAGATAACTTGCAGAAGAAAAACAGGAACCAAATCAAAACAAAGGAAGCTGCTTTTCCCTCTCATTCTGTTTAAATGAAGATATTACCAAGTAATGGAACTAAAAGATATGCACTGGATTTCTTAGAAAGTCGCTTTCAGAACATAACACATAAAATCAAGTTACATTAATTCAAAGAGCATGACTGGTAAAAATTGGTTTCAGAAAATTGCAAGTCCAATTAATTCATCTAGATTTCATGTTTTCAAGCTGTGCTACTCACGCCCTACAGAATAAATTTTCTAATCTCCAACTCAGCAACAAAGAAATAGAATTTTAATTATGAATGAATAAAATAAGAGTACTTACGCTGACCCCACCGGCCTGTTCTTGGGTTCAAATAATTTGGATAAAGTCCATTAGGACGATCCATTTTTTGGAGTAACTTCCGAATGTGCATGACCTAAATTAAATCAAGAATCAGGATCACCACTAACAACTTCAATCTGCTCTGCATACTGTTAAATCTAATATTTTTCTTTTCAGACATATATTTTCTTAATTTTATCTGAAGAGCTCTCTTGGGAGCTTCCTCTTTTTATTTTTTATTTTTTGCTTTTAAAGTGTTGACACACAAACATCTTTTAAAGTTATGATTTTTAAGTGCTTGTTGAAAGAAATGAAGAACTTTTGCTGTAAAATTTGTATTTCAAAAAGTCAATCTGCTTCATAAGAAAGAATTTACTTGTTACTTAAAATGCAGTTAGATTACAGTACGTTACAAAATGTTGTACAAAAGGCAATTTCCTTTAATGCAATTTATGATGAAACAGCATAAAAATCACTTGTATGACTGAAAAAACTAAATTTGAGACCCACCTTGTTGTAATATACCGGGTCTCCTGTTAAATAGCTTAGGTGGACAAATTCCATATGTAGAGTACCAAACTCAGCAAGGATGCTGCTGCCTGCAGAAGCCCAGCCCCAGTTCCGACCCACACCGCTGAGGTTCAAGAAATATGTATGAAAATCAGAAAAAAGAACAAAAAAAAATAATCAGAATTACCATACAGAATGCTAGTAACAAGTACAACAGCAAATTAAAAAGGTAACAGCAAAATAATAATGCTTAAGATTACAGGAGTTGTGGCATGATTGAGTGGTTGGTTAGTTGGTGAGATCTTCTTGGAAAAAAAAAATATATGTTCATCAACAAAAAGACCTGTGATTGTAATTCTGTGCATCAACACATTGATTCAATGCCTTAATAATGAGCCCTATCTCAATTGTCATTTATTCATTCCATATCCCTAAGAACAAGAATCAAAAGCAAATACCAGATGAGTATACTACCGAATGTGGCAGAATTTGCTTCCTTGTTCTGTCAAATATCTGCTTATCCTTACTTGTGAGGGATACGTTTAATGTCAATATTTGATGGTTCAGTAAGATGGGAGTGAGCCTTATCTGTGTCTACATAGGAAAACTGTACATCTATAGCAAGCAGAATATTGTGAATTCCTCAGACTGGCACAAGGAATCAACAGACTGCATTATACCATAAATCTTTTGCACTCAAAGACATCTCAGTAAGTCATAACTCCTAAATTACCTCTGGTTTAATTTGATTCACGAGTTTTCACCACCTTCCAGAATTGAGTCCTTTAACTTGTGAAGTTAACCATATTTTCCTGGAGATTATTGGTTCTTTCTCTCAAATAAGAGATCACTTATCAGTAAAACTACTATCAGATAGCAATGTCTTTATATTCCTTTTATTATAAATTAGAAAGAATAAAAATGTAAACAAAAAACATCAGTAACAGAGCAGAAATTACAGTTCTCACCTGAGACAGAATACCTTCAAAAATGCAGTAACCACTGCTGAAAGACTACAGAAATAAAATTATAGCCTGCAGTTTTTCTTTGGTTTATCTCTCACAAAGAAAGAAAATGAACATTAAAAATACAAAAACTAATAAAATACAAGTCACTCATTTTTCAAATCCTTCTATCGGGTCCTTACTTCTATTGCATGTCAGCCTCATGACAAGTGTTCACACATACATACACCACTGTCACTGCTTCACTGCATGCCAGCTACTGTATTTTCTGTTGCGATGCCAGCAGGCTCTGTACGATACCAGGAGGCGGATACAGCGCCAGCAGTAATTAACAAGAAAGTTCTGATGTCTCAGTAATAAAAATATAAAAAATGCCTTGTGTCAAAAAGTGCTTTCAAAATTTGAGGAAAAACTCAGCACTGAACAAGCAATACAAGACAAATTAGTAATTTTGTTCCACGAGGCAATCTAAGTTCAGTGTACTCTGAACAGCCACCTATAGGAGCCCAGCCATATCCCCTGACTATAGTGGATATCTGCACATTCGCCTTGATACAGCTGAACTGCAAAATAAATTAATACTTCCTCAAACATTTTGAGATTTCTGAAAGTAACACACAGCTCACAAAGAGCATAAAACCCAGTAAATTCAATTGTGGCCTCCAAACAGTTCTGTTTTTCGTAGGAGCATGGTTTATAATGACTAAAGAATTAATGTTTAAGCTCTAGGACAACATATGCCATAATATGGTCTAACAGCATGCTGAATTCTGAGTTAGAATTAGGAAAAATATTAATGGTCACGATTTATTACAGTTAATGAAGTAGGATGGTCTGAAATCTATTAAAGTTATCTTTAAGTGCCAGGAATAACAACTTGTCACCATCTTCTACAATTGTACTACTTAGAATTACTAATAGCATATGCCGTTTTTTCAAGTTAGGGAAGGTTGAGAAAAACACTTCCCCACAAAAGAAAACTCATTACCTTTTCAGATTTACCATTGCCCATGGTATACCCGTAGGCGTGTTGAAGGCTGGAAGAAGTTTTCCTGCCAGCTGCACTGCTTTGATCTTGAAAACCTAAGATAGTAGGATCAATTGCAGACAGTTATAAATTCTGATTTATCTCCAAGAACTATAAAGATGGAAATTTCCTTGTCCCACCCACTTCTTTATATAAGAAAAGCGTTACAATGAAGAAAAAAAAAGAAAAAAAATTGAACTTTTCATTTATTTTCACTTGCTCATTTCATGAACACCACTAAAATTTGAACATGAAAAGAAGACTTGTCATTTTAATGTCTCTGCTTCCATGCTCACCAGCAACACTGCTTATATTCCTACGAAAGAGGGGTATCAATCCTCCCCCCAACTCTTTCCACCAATATTATTTCAAGTGCTATCTAAAGCAATCTTTAAAATATACTCACTTTTGAAGCAAAAAGCGAAAGAGAATTCTCCCACATAACACAAAAGTGATTTTAATTTACAAACTTACAATCCTATTAATGATATGCTTAATACAGGCAGAGCTGCTAACTTTTTATGAACACTGTCAAAGCAAAATGACACATACACAGTTTCCCAAAACTCTTCTTTCATTGATAATACATTACAAAAATTTTAAAAGGCTTAATATTTCCTCTCAAGTCTGACTACGAATGCAATTTATTGACAGGACAAAATGACTTTTACTTTCCAGTGTTGTTACTCATGTCCGTATAAGAGCATAAACCTGTAATACCTTTATTTAGAATCTAACGTTTATGAGCTAAATGAGTAGATGGGAAAAAATCCTTCCAAGCTTGTAGGAAGAATCTTTTCCAAGAAGGCATATTTGGCAGATGCCAATGCCAGTAACATAAAACTGTTTTTGCCAGCTAGCATGGCACTTGCTAGCATACATTACAATTAACTCAATGTGAATATTCTCTGGAAGTATCTTCCTTATTGGGAGACAACATTATTTATCAGTTACAAATGCTGCACAAACATTTTAACAAAAGGAGCTACTGTTGCCCTAAGTAACTTAAGCATCGTGGACACGCGAAAAAACACCCCACAGTTACTAACTACCACATCAATATTCTATAATCAAGAGAAATAAAAGCTTTAGGTAAATCTGAAAGACAGTTCTGTTGAACTGATAAAAAATATTCTTCCCTTTTATGAAGAGTAGAGGAAGAAAAGAAAAAATGTAAACTGGGGAATCTGAAAAGTAAGCAATCAAGACCTTCTCATTTTTCATACGAAGGTAAGAAAAGATGAATATCTGAAATATTTTAGAAGATGACTAGTAAGACATGCAATAGACAAAAAGGAATATTAACGGTGACATCTAACTGTAGTTGATGCAGTAGGCTATGGAGAGATGGAAGTGGATCTGAAAGTAATGAGCCAAGAAAAGACTTCTACACAGATAGTCTAAAGATGAGTTTAAAGAGTTTATGGATGAAGTATGTCTAAACTGAAAAAGAGGATATTGGAATCATCAGAATGGAATTTGATGGAAATGTGAAGCAACAGAAGCAGTGTGGCTTGACTGCTTTTCAGCAACAACACTGGCAAGAGACAGTCTTTGAGAAAATGCAGAAACTTAAAATTCATAAAATGCTCTAACTTTGAATAAAGGACCAAGTGAAAATAGGAAGGCATATTATAAATAAGAGGGACTGTATAGGTAGAATCTACGGTAATTGGGAAAAGAGAAGCCCTGAAGAGAAATAAAAGATATGTTTCAGCCCAAATACATACAGATTACCTTCTTTGAATCTATAAATGCATATCAAAAATGCAGGCAGAAATTTTAGATTTTTAGATGCTGGATGGGTCAAGACCAGACAGAGCCACTACAATCACCTGAAGTAAGTTAACATCCCTAATGCAGAGCCACTTTGATGCTTACTTCATAACTGAATTACAAATTCCTCTTAGACATTACAAAGTTTGGGAAGACATTTCTGGCATGAATTTCTTTATCTTCCATTTTTGGATCCTGCACCCTTTGGAAACTCCACACATATGACTGTGTGTTTCTATTATGCTCATTAATAAAGGATTTTGAAACATTATGGCAAGAATGTTCAGTGGGAGAATGCTCCTAGAAACATCCCCACTAAAATAATTTCTCTATTTAAGTAATATTATACAGCTTTTGCTCAATTTGAAACATGCTACAACAATTTAGGGAAAAAAAAAACATGGTTTTGGAAGCAGTTTTTTAGAAATTGTACATAAAGAGCAGGCTGAGATGAGCTACCTGTTAATGAATACAAACAAGGGCAGGGAAGGAAATACTGTGCCAGTCATTTCAGCATGTGAGAAATTCAAAAGCCAGTCAGTCAGTAGAAAGTTGCGACTGCTTGCTCAGACAGTGGCATCAATAGTACCTGTTGAAAACTTGCTGTGATTAGAGACAGATTCCTTTTACCTCTGTTGAGCTGAGGATTCTAAGTACTACTGATTTAGCACCAGTGAGTAAAATTGTACCTTTGTTTACCTTTTTCATTAAAGTAAACCCTTGAATTAACCACCGACAGACCATTACTTTATATTAGGGTACTTCCTGGTACATAGCACCAAGAGTGCTATGAATATCTCAGCACTTCTGGATAACATAGCTCTGCTGAGCTAATTAAAATAGCTTCTATTACTAAGTTTTAGACACAAGAGCAGGCGTAAATGCATTAGGCTTTAACTTCTAAATAACCTAATGACAGCAGACAGCATGATTACTTATCATACAGCAAATACAAAAAAATATTTAAAAAATATAAAAGACGCCTTGAAAACATAAAATGGTGAAAGAATTGTGGTTACTTAGTCTAGAGAATGACGTTCAAGAGAAGACACAAGATAGCAACTTCTCAGTACATACAAGGCCAATACACGGAAAAATGAAATAACTGTGTTTTCTGCAGATGTGAAGAATAAAAACAAGCATGAAGTCAGATGATAACACAGATCCATTCAAATACTTAATGCAGTTAAGAAAGGGAGTATCCAACAGCAAGACTACATTCAGACCCTCAAGAATAATGCTTGGCCCAATCTAAAATCTTGACCTGATCTAAAACAGTTATTTTTCTACCTTCAGAATTCAGTTTGCAGTACTAAACTCTTTGTAGTCTTTTTGTACCTAACCACCCATTTAAAATCCAACATGCCTGTTAGGCAACTTGCTGCATGAATAGCAATACAGGCCAGCGGAGCAATTTAATGCTGAAAACCAAGATGAGCAGTGTTGCTGCAAAAAGAAAGGTAACTCCTTTAATAAGTCTTAATAAGTTTTACTGCCTGTTTACATATATGCCATGCCACTTAGAAAGAAAATGCACATATGCCAAGTGAGCAGTTTTAAATTCCAAAGACATACAACATCCCCGCATTTCAGACAGAGAACACCCAAATTTTAAAATATTCCTAGGGAGTTCCCCACTGCAAGTAGTGGTATCCTGCTAACCAGAAATGAAGAAATATGTTCCTTTTTAAAATATTTGCTTCTCATCAATACCACAGATAAAATGAGAAAGGCCTCTCATGACAAGAGGGAGGTGCAATAAGATTCAGGTAACATTTAAGGTATCATAGGATGAAATAGAAGTGGGAATGCACTTTAGCTATATTTTATAGATGTATATGAGTAACAACTAGTGAAGTCTGTAACACCTAGAATTTGTCCTGGATAAAATAGATTTGCATTTATATGAAATTGAGCAAGGCAGTTAAAAACTACAATATGTACAGTGGTGAGAAGATACTGAATTACATGAGTATATTGATTCACAGCACATGTTCAACAAAGGACTATTTACAGATATTGTTAAAACATGAATCTAGCCAAGAGCCTTTCACTGTCTCTTGTGAGTTACAATGATTACCAAGCACTTGACAAACAAGACTTAGCATTTCTAACACACAAAGTTTTTAGACAGGAGAAGACTTGTCCTACAAGGGGATGCTCTGCAAATTTATTTTAATTGCTCAATTGTAACAGAAAAAAAATTAACATGGAAATGAAAAACTCAAACCCATCTCAGAAGTCTAAGAGTGAAAAATACAGGAATCAACTTGAAACTAGACTATAACTTAAATTGGCTCTGTCTTCTTTGTATGCTTCCTTCATATCTATATACAGGTATTTATATTTAATGTAATTTTTTATTTATATTATGAAAGAGATTCCCCAGAGCATTTCTCCTGGTTAAACAGTTTCAACACACTTAGCGTTTCTTCATAAAAGAGATCCTCCTGTCCTTTAAACATCTTCACAGTCTTTTGTTAGATTCAGTATGCCAACATCTATCCTATACTGGGGAGCCCAGAACTGGTTCCAGCACCTCAGGAGTGGTCTTACCACTGCTGAGCAGAGGGGAAAATCACTTCCCACAGTTATGCAGCTGTTGAACTGCTCAAGGTTCCAGCCAGCCCATTTCTCCAGCTTCTCCAGGTCCCTCTGGATAGTGGCATGACCCTCTGACGAATCAGCCATGCCTCCCGGTTTTGTACTATCTGCAAACTTATTGAGGGTTCTCTCAACAGATCCAAATCATTAATGAAAATGTTGAATAGAACTGAATCCAGCACTGACCCCTCGGGTACACCAATAATAGTTACTGGCCTCCAACTGGACTTTGTGCCACTGGATACCACCCTTTGGAGGGAGTTGGGCTTGTTCAGCCTGGAGAAGAGAAGGCTGCGGGGTGACCTCATTGCAGCCTATCAATACCTGAAGGGAACCTACACCCAGGAGGGGAGCAAACTGTTCAAAAGGGCTGACAACAGCAGGACTAGGGGAAATGGATCCAAGTTGAAGGAGGGAAGATTTAGGTTGGATGTTAGGGGGAAGTTCTTCACAAGGAGAGTGGTTAGGCCCTGGAACAGGCTGCCCAGGGAGGTTGTGGATGCCCCGTCCTTGGACGTGTTCAAGGCCAGGTTGGACGGGGTCCTGGGCAACCTGGTCTAAATGTGGATGTTTGGTGTCCCTGTTAGGCAGGGGGGTTGGAACTACATGATCCTTGAGGTCCCTTCCAACCCGGGTGATTCTGTGATTCTGTGATTCCTCAGATCTCTTCTTTCCA